ATATAAAAATTATTAATTTTAATTGATTATTTTTATATCAGATATAAATATCTATTGTTATCGTAATTATTTAATGCATAATAATGATTTTGCAATATTAAATTAATACCGCTCTTTAAATTTATTATATCCAAAAATATGAAATGATATTCAAAAATATTTTATTTTATTTAAAACCTCCTTGAAATAATGAACGGCCATCGCAAATTAACTCTTTACGAATATCAAACAAAATTAAGGCAAATCCAAGAACACAGAAGTCCCAAGTCGAATAAATTTCATACTCCCTAATAAAAGGTTAATTTTGGTTCCCCGAAAACGCAAATTGTTTCCAAAAAACAAGAGCAAAGACTATTTTCGGATAGATCCACATCTACATATTAAAATTTAAATCTTCCTTTCTCATCTAAAATACCCAAGTTTTCTAAACTACAATCTTTGGATGAAGAGTCTAAACAATCTGAAACTTTGATCAAACATCAGATAGTTGAATAGAAAAGTTCGAAATAAGAGGGGATAGACAAATTAAGGATACAATTGAATGAACAATTTTTAAAAGAAAGCTCCTGTAACAGAGCAGGAGCTTGTCTTTAATTTCTTGAACCTACTCTTGTTCATAATCTATGTAATAATATGAAATAAATTTTAGTAAACCTATCACCTAAGGTTAAAATAAATTCAGGCCTTCGTGCATCTATTTCATCAAAAGATTTGAATGGTAACACAGCTCTACATTTTGCAGCCAGAAATGGAAACACTCATCTTGTTCAAGCTCTATTATACAAAGAAATTCAAATAGATGAATAGAATGAGGATAAAATGACACCATTACTTTTAAGTGCTTATTAGTACTAATTTATATATTAACATAGTGGAAAATTAGAAACTTTATAAATATTAGTCAATGTTGGTGCTAACATTAATCATCAAGATATTCATGGAAACTCTGCTCTTCATTATGCTTGTAAGTTTAATTTTAAATCTATTGTGTAATTCTTACTCTAAAAAGAGAGTGTTGTCCTATTAAAAAATTTAGATTAAAAGTATCCAGATTATTATATTGAAGATTCAGAAATTGCTCAAATATTCAAAGATTATTTAGAGTAATCAAAAAGTAATTATATTATTTATATTTTATAGAAAAACAAACTAAAGAAGTTACAATTCAAACAATATAAACAGAAACAATATTAAAAATGTTTTAAAGAAAAAATGTAAAATAAATAAAAAATTTAATTAAAACAAGTAAGTCATAAAACAATCTGGATAAAATTTAGGAGTCATCTCCTAAAGTAAAACAATTATAAACTAAATTACAATAACTTGAATAATTTAAAACTTAGATGTAAGGATTAAAAAGGTAAACAACTTTCTCAACTAATTATTCTGAATCTTGTAAAAATTTGAAAGATGAAGAGGAAACATCTTTATCTTAATTTTAGATATTAGGTTTAATTGGTAAAGGTAGTTTTGGTCAAGTATATCTTGTAAAAAGATTAAACTAATTTTATGCTATGAAAGTTTTAGATAAAACAATGATTTTAAGTAAATATAAATAAATAATTTAGAACATAATTTATTTCGTTATGCATAAACAGAAAGAAATGTATTATCAGTAACTTCTCATCCTTTTATAGTAAAGTTAAGATATGCTTTTTAAACATCAGATAAATTAATTATGATTTTAGACTTTTGTCCTGGAGGAGATATGGGATAACTTTTGGAAGAGAAAAAAAGACTTCCAGAGGAATTAGTAAAAAATTACATTTGTGAAGTGATTTTAGCTTTGGAAGATTTACATTAAAGAGATATCATTTATAGAGATTTAAAACCAGAAAATATAGTAATTGATGCTGATGGACATGCTATGCTAACTGATTTTGGACTTTCAAAAGAAGGAATATTTGATGCTAATTAAGGAGCAAAATCATTTTGTGGATCTGTTGCTTATTTAGCACCGGAAATGCTTAAAAGATAAGGTCATGGAAAAGCTGTTGACTGGTATTTACTTGGAGTAGTCATGTATGAACTTTTAGTTGGAGTACCACCTTATTATGATAATGAAAAAGAATAGCTTTTTCATAATATAGAAAATGCTATTCTCAAAATCCCTTCGTATATATCATCTGAAGGTAGAAACTTGATTAAATCAGTAATTATTATATTCATATTTAATAGCTTCTTCAAAGAAATCCTATCAAAAGATTAGGATCAGGAGTAGGTGATTCTAAGGAAATCAAGTAACATCCTTATTTTTCAGATGTTGATTGGGTTAAGGTTAAAAATAAAGAATTGGAACTTCCTAAACCAACAAGAAAGATTAGAATAGATACATAAGCTAGTCACAATCTTTTTTAACCTGAACATTTGGAACTATCATCTCATGTTAATGGTTGGTCCTATGTTCATACAGAATTTTGAAAAATTGTTTATCTTGCTTAACAATTTAGTTTAATTTATAATTATTATTTTCAAATGCTTACTATAAACTTCTTTTTCAATTTAAAAGGTATTAACTATAAACTTCTTTTTCAATTTAAAAGGTATTACGCAAAATTTTTATTTTAAAATAATTTTACTCTTTAAATTGAACTCTAATTTCTAATAAAACAATTATAGAACTTAAAAATATTGATTATCTTATTTTTAGAACAGAGGATAATATTCATTTTGTGTAAGAAATCTTTTAATTGTAGATATGATAATTAGAAGAAATTTAAATTAAATTTTTATTTTTAATGTCAATAAAAGTTTCTGACTTTTTGCAAATGGATAGATTATAAGATTATTTTCAAAAAATTTAAGAAGAGGAAGATAGAAAACATAAAATCTAAGAACTTACTACTAAATTAATAGAGAAATCATAAAAGAGACTTAAGTAATTATTAAATTAATTAGATTGTAGAATAGGAACTAACGAGTTGATTAGAGATTTAATGAAAAACTAAAAAATATGAAAGAGCTCAATACATTTATTGATGTAAGATAATAGATTGTTGAATCAAATTTGTTAAATGATGTAAAGCTAATGGATTAAATATAAACGGAATTCAAAAATGTTTAAACAAAAACATAAGAACAATGGATTTAAAAACAATTGAATTTAGATTCAACTGTAAAAACTTAGAAAAAGCAATCTTTTTCTACATATTCAACTAAAAATTTTTCATAATCAAATTCAGTTGTTCCTATAAAAAGAGTGTTGGATAATACATTTCTGACTTCATCTATGTAGAATTTTGTAAGTGACCCAAGATCTACTGCTTCATAAATAAATAATGGCTCATATAATTTTGATATTTTAGTTGAAAATGGATTGCTATCCAAAAATTAAAACTCCATAAAACTAACAGTATCAAAATATTATTCTAAATATTAAAATAAAACCAATGAATTCATAAAGAATATGAAATTAAATTGTATTGCTAAATATAAACCAATTTAAGAAAAAATAAATAAAAAAGAAATCAAATTATCAAATAACAATTCCTAATATTCCTAACATTCCCCTATGCGATAAAGAGGAAGACCTTAAACTTGTTTTGAAACTAATTAATTAAGTACATAAAAAAAAGAAAATTTATAATAATCTTCTTCAGAAAATTAAAAATCTATTATGAAAGTGAACTCAAATAATAACTCAGAAAAATGTTCAAATGAAAGAACAAAGAATCTTTAATCAATGATCAACTTTTATCAAAATTCAAATGGATAGACTGATAAAAGACTTAAAACACCACAGTATCGCAGGAGAATAGGATAATCTTTTCTAAAATTTAATAAATCTTTAACTGAAGTCGAATCTGAATTAAATAAATCTAGTTAAGTTAATAATGATATATTAAAGAAAATGGAATCCATCGTAAATGATGTTTATGAGAAATATTAAACATAATCCAGTTTTTATAATTTTTATTGATTAAATATTTTCATGTTTATTTGGAATAGTTCAAAATTTAAGTCCAAAAAATTTTAATATGAATATTTATAATTTTTAAAATTATTAGATTTTTTGGAAAAATAATTTATTTCTTAGTTATTTGTCTAAAATAATTTCCATATGTTGTTTTATATATCAAAGTGAATATAAAACAATGTTTCACATTATATTCCTCTTATAATAAATATAATATAATTTTTTTTCAATAATTAGTATAATTGAAGTATCATAATGAGAAAAAAAATTATTCAAACATGTAATTTTGCATTATTAGAAATGTTATATACAGTTTTGAATAACAGGTTGTATGAAATTGTATTATTGATTTACAAATTTAACTAATTTAAGAAGTTTGATTTAGTTTTGAAATTAAAGTGAATCGTTCAGAAGATATTTATTAGTAAGTTATTTAGGAAGGCTATGTTATAGTAATAAATTTTAGACTGATGGGAACTCAAGAAATATATTATTTAAAGTTTGACATAATTGACAGCTTTTATTTATAATTTTGAGTTGATAGTTTGTATTTAATATTTAAAAATAATATGTTGAAAGAGATTCTAACTAGAATTCTATTTTGTTGTAGTAAATGAGTTGATTAAGATGAATTAAAATAGTTAACAAATTTTTTTCTGAAATTTCTCATATAGATTATAATTTATCTGTTTGAATATTTAATATAGTATAGATATATTATTAAGTTGTTTGTTGGATATAGATTTAAAATTGAGAGATAGAATTCTGTACTATAAAATAGTGGTATATTGAGCTGTTGAAAATAGTTTGAGAGTAATGTGTTTTTAAGTAATATTCGAAGATATGTTAATTGTATGATTGAGATAGAAGTTTTAGGATTGTTTTTTTTGATAAGAAGAATTCCCGCTAGTTCTTTTGGAATTAAATATGAAGGTCTTATGTTTTTTTTATTACAATCATAAATTTAAATAATTTAAAATGAGCTCTTAAAATAAGTAAGTATATTTGTATAATTTTAAGTACATAAGGATTGTTTGGTGCAGCTTAAAATCAAGGAGGTAATATATTCGGTTCAACAGGATTAAATTTTAACTAAAGTGGATAGACATAGAATTAAGGGTCTTAGCTTAGTAGTTTTAGTATTTAAGGTAATTTAGGTGGAGCATAATAAACAGGAGCAAATTCTACAATTCCTAATATCTTTGGTAACTAAGCACCTAGCTAAAATATGAATACAAATAATACAGCAAATAATATACTATCTGGATCATTACCAACAGCCTAACCTCCATAATAATAACAACCGACCTAAATAAATAACAACATTTTTTAAAATTAGGGGAATGCAGCACCTTAAGCAAATTAAACTGGAATGGGCGGTTTAAGTCTTTTTTAATAATAACCATAAGGTTCATAAACAACATAGACAAATCTAAATAATTCTGCATCTTTATTTTAACTAAATAGTTCTAATTAACCTCCTTAATCAACTTAACAAAACACAACTTAATAAAATCCATAAACAGGTGGAGGATTATTTAATAATCCTACTTCAAATAGAGTAGGTACAGGAATAGGTGCAGATACGAATGCGAATATAGGTTTAGTGGGAGCAAATGCAGGAGGAGGATTGGGAACAAATACTTTAGGTATAAGTGCAGATCCAGGATAAGGAACAGCGACAGCTGGAGGAATATTTTCATCATAACCATAAACAAGTAATCCTTAACTTAATTAAAATAACAATTCTTTAACTAATTAATAAAATCCAATTTCAGCTACTACTAATACTAATCCTACCTCATCATTATAAACATCCAATCAAGCTTAACCAAATTAATCGAATTTATTTATAGCTTCTAATACTTTATTTTCTAATAACACCAATTAAACTCCAGCATAATAACCACAATAGTAATAAAAACCTGCTTAATCTAATCCTAATGATTTAAATAAATAAATAATTACACCAACAAATACTACATAAATAACTAATAACAATTTAACTACTCCAAGTATTATCTCAATAGGATAATAACCAAATTAATTATAATAAACTACCTAATAATAGTAATAACAATAATAAACAAACTCTCAATAAACATAATAATAAACTTAACCATAATAATAACCGACATAATAATAATCATTAATACATTAAGCTTAATCTGTACCTTAATAGTAATCATCAACATCTTCATAACCTTAATAAAAATTATAATTACCTAATGAAAAAAATAGTGATTTTTTTAAAATTATGGAAATCTTGAATTGTAAAGATGATATCAAAATTTAAAATTTATTCAGAGATGATAAAAATTTATATGAAATCATGTTAAAAGGATCTGATTGGTTTTCATTCTCAGATAATAAAATATCACCTTCTACAGATTCTCTTTTTGATTAAGAAATCAGAACTAAGTGTTTTGATAATAAAATTAAAAGTGAAGTCTATCAAGTCTTAAAAAGAAGTTTATAATAATCAAGAGTTAAAATATTAGAAAAACAATTTGAAAGAAAATAAAAAGCACCTGAAAAAAGCAAATTTTTTGACACTGAAATAAAAAAATTTTAACACATCATTTTTAATCATTATGCTGAATAAAGATCTTAATTAGTTGCAGGATTAAAATTAATGCTTGTTAATTTAATTACTGAAGAGGAAATTGGAAATCCATCAAAATAATTAAATGATATGTTTAAAAGAGGTCTTATCGAAGGATTGGCTAATTCTTTTTTAAGTGTCCCAAAAGCATTGAATTTTTATTTAAAATAAGAATAATTTTCAGAAGAATACACCTTTTAAACATTATAACATTTTGTGTCAGAATAAACATAAATTCTAGAGATATTTACTATTTTATAATGTTACTTTAAAATAGATAGATTTGAAGATTTATATGTCAAACCAGTCTAAAAATTAATTGAAAATATGAAAATAACACAATTTCTTGGTTTATTTCATAAAAATGAGCATCTAGTTTTCTAAGAGTATAGTCCTTTAGCATCTAAACTCTAGGATGAATATAAGAAAATAGCTTTCATTTTTTTATTAGCTTAATGTATTAGACCTTTATATTAATAAAGAGAAGCTGATTTAGATGATTATCACCTTCCTCCACTTTGGATAAGTAAAATTGAAACAATAAAATAATTACAACAAGATTATATGTAAAAGATATTTTAGAATGTCATTTAACTCTAGGAAGGAAAGGAGGTTTCAAGTTAGAATGATTATGAAATAAGTTTAAGATATTTTGAAGAAGTTCTTAGAGTATTGGAAAATGCTTCAATAAATACACATTTTTGGAATTGTGTATGCACTTGCATTTATTAATGGATTAGATTTTATAAAATTAAATATTAAGATGATGATTGTGATGATGAAATTGAATTATTATCGAAAATATTTTCAATTCTTCTTTAATTACCTTAACTTTGGTTTTTGTTTTGTGATTTTGTAAATGAAAATAATTCAGCTGAGTAAATCATATTTGAAAGATTAAATAAATTAAAAGTATTTAGAAAAATAAATTAACCTGAATCATTAGATTTATTATCAGACGATCACAACCTTTTTTAAAGCTTACACAATATGATCAGAGATTTCTCAGAAGGAAAACTGACAAATAATCTATATAAATCATCTGATTTCTTAGGAAGAAGTAATCGAGCCTCTATGGATTATTACAATGAATAAAATAAATTGAAAAACAAGACATTATCAATGGGTATTGACAATCTAGGAATAAGTGTTTACAAATTTAAACATGCTATCAAATTTATTAAAGGAGAAGTCAGAAAATCACCAAATTCGATATAAAAAATTGCTTAATTATGTAGTTCAAATAACATAAATAGATAGATTCTTAAAATAACATTAGAATGCACAAGATTGATAGATTTAATTATTGATACTTATAAGGATGAAGAGAAAGCTATTTAAATAATTAATAATTTATTAACAATAGGTTCAGAGGCTGTTTAAATTATTAACTATATATTTTCAGATCCTATGATTTAAAGAGAAATGGCTGATGAAATCAATAAACTGCCTACAAATGAATAATAAATTTAAAGACAACAAGGAATATCGTATCATCCATTATTTGAATTGTTTCATATAGCAAGAAAATTTTAAGCTTCTTATTAATTTAAAGTTAAGTAAGTAATCAAAATTCATTTGAATTATGCTTAATTGTGTAGTACAATAATTGGGTAAGATAATCCTTTATAATTATTTGAATAACAAAATAGTAGTCACTTCTATCAATCATCTTAGCATACATTTGTGAAAAATACACTTGAAACTTTCTTGAGATTTTAATTGCAAGAATGGAAAAAATTTGAGGAGGATAAAATGGAAGTTACAATTGAATATTAGGCAAGTATGTATTTAGCTTTGCAAATTATTTTGAAAAAATTTTTATTTTATCATACTAAAGAATACAAAGAAACATAATTACATAATTTGATTAAATAACAATTGAATGAAATTAATAGTTAAATTATTCTTGAATTTTTATTGACCAACTTAGATGTTACACTAACAGATTCATTTTTTGAAGATATTGGATAAAAATAATTATCGAATGATATCAACATGATTGGAATTAAAAATAAATTATTTGAATAAGTTAGAAATTGCGATAAAAGAAAAAATTATGTAACTTCACTTTTGGTAAATTTATTGGATTGTTGGAATACTCTTATTGATTTATATTCTATATATGATGAAACCTTTAGCAATAATTTATTGTTAATTAAGCAATTGCATTAATTTTTTTAAGAGGAACAATATTTTTTACAATAGGTTGTGAGTACTTATCAATAAGATATTAATAATTATATTAGCAATAAAGTAAAATTAAATTTCATACATTCTATTTTGGGTCTTTTGAATACGATTAGTGAACCATAGACTAATTGTTAAGATCCACCTGATTTTAATGATGTGGAATAGCAAACTTTTAAATAAATTTATGAAGATATGAAATTCAAAAATTATCGTTAGATTTTAGATAGAAATTTACCTTAACATAATACTATATTCACAAGTGCATTACGTTTGTTATCTAAACCATTATTGAATCATAATTTAGAATAGAATATTACAACAATAGAAACTGAAGAGAACTAATTGTTAAATAAGAGAATTCATTATCATCATTTAATTTTTTAGAGTCTTCATACAATTTTAAATAGATTAGATAAGAAATGTTATTTGATTGAAAAATAAGAAATATTAGAATTTTTAATTATAAGTTTGGAGAATAATTAATCTTTTATGTAATATATTCTAAAATCATAAAACACTAATTAAAATTCTGGAATAAAATACATTTTAGAACTATTTTAAAACATATTTGGTTATGATGAAGATTTAGAATAAGATTATAGAATTCCAATGTTGGTATTAGTATTTTTGCATTAAGTTTTATGTATAAATTAATCAAGATATTAATCATTTGCAAAAGAATGTAGATCAAAGTTTGCTTCTTTGATGCTTAAATTGTGTAGAGAAGTGTAAATTTGTTTAAATAAACGATGTGAGAAGTTTACAAAGTTTTTATCATATAATAATGCAAAATGGTATTTAACAAGAGAAACAGGAACAGCAATAGAATAGTGTATAATAGAGAACTGTGTATTAGATGCAATAGAGGAATTAGTAATGTTAGAGTACTTTTTGAAATTGTTAATTAATGAGATGAAATAAGAAATAAAAGAGACAACAAAAGCTTTTGGAGAATTAATAAAATTAATGTTTTAAAAACATTTTATTAGAGAATGGTACTTGCTATTAATATAATTCAGTGATCATATTGAATTTGCAAAATTCTAAAAAAGGATTCCTATAATAAAGAGTAATATAGTATTTAATTATTTGTCTAATTACATTTACAGTTATGGACGTGACTTTCAGATAGATAGTAATACAGTGAATTATACAGGTGGGAATGCAATAGCATAATAGAAGTCAAATATAATGGCTTCATGGTTTACATAGTTATTGTCAACATTTAATTAATTATCTTAATTTGTTTAATTCTTTTTTTCTATAGGTTTGACAGGTTCTCCTTTTAGTGATAATTATTAAAAAGATATATATGAAGATATTGAACTTGGAGATTCAATATTTTCTCCAAATTAAGGAAAGGAAATAATTGAGGGAGGAGTGGTGAAACTATTTGGTTAGGAAGAAAATTAATATAGTGAAACAGAATATGCATTTAATGCAGGATTATACTTTTTATAGAAAGGAAGTTAGAGTATATATGGTTTAGATACATCTAAAATTCATGAAGAATTAATGGCTCCAGCAATGGAAGTACTAAATTAAATCTGTTGGTATAGTCAATAGGTAGTTTGTAAATTTAAGAGTTTGAATTCATAAAAAGATGCTACATTAATGACAACTGAAAAACTTAATACTATGAGTAAACATCAATTTGTATTCTTTAAACGTCTTTTAGAATTGAAATCTGTTTGTAATAATGAATATAAAGGAAAATATAAATAAATATTATTTAGTTGTTTTCATTCAATGTTGTTAGTATTACAGAGTGTGAAAGAAGTCTAATTGTAAGAACCTTAAGATTTAGTGTAAGTATTTCATTATTTCATTTTGTAAATAGATTTCAGCGATCCTAATTGTAAATAATAAATTGGACAATTATCATCTATATTATCTGTCATATTAAACATATATCCAGCTAATCCTGAATTACTAGAAAAACCGAATGAAGGATTCTATGATATTGTTAACTTATAATTAGAAGCTTTGAAAAATTAAAATAATTCTAAAATATTTTAATCAATTATCTAATGTTGGATAGATATCATTACTTTCGATATTTCTAATAAAATTGATGTAAGATATTTAAAATCACTTACTTTTATTGCAGATGAATAAATTTACAATTCTAATGAAAATGGATAATATAATAATAAACATTCAATGTGGTGTCATGTTTTAGTTTTAGTTAGAGAATTATTAGCATAAGATCAATCATAATGTAGATAGATTTTAGAATTTCTTACTTCTCATGAATAAAGAATTCATTCAGCTATTATTTAAATTGATTAAAGTTAGTAATATTAATCACTTAGATAATTTACAGCTGTTACTGGATTAACACTTAAACATATTTAAACATATTAATAAAGTTATATGCTATTTTTTGAATTATCTTAAATTACTTAATTCTTACTTGAATTAATTTTATGTAAGAATATGAGATTACAGTTTAAATTATAATTAGATAAGATTATCTATACATTTATGGGATAATATAGTCAATAATTAGGTAATCATAAAAAACTTAAGTAATTCTTTCAAAGCTTTAAACCATACACTTTATTAGAAACCAAACTTAATTAATTATTTGCTAAACCTGAGTCTATGAAAAACTCTGATTATTTCTCAATACCTTAATCTGCATAAATGATGAGATAAAATTAAACACCTTCTCCTCATAGAACTGTTTAAAGAGATCAAGCATCCAATTTTGATGGTAAATCAACTTAAGGTGGAGGTTAAAAATTTAATCTTAAAAGAGACATAGACAATATTTCATTATTTTAATATATCTGCTTAGTTGAATACTTAAGGTTCTGTCGTTTCAGTATTCAAGGTATTGCAGCATCTATGAATATTTTTGAAGTGGATCGTAATTTCTAATTGGAAGATAATGTTTGGAATAGTTTTGGAAGTAACATTCAAAGTTTCATATAATTCAATTTTGATGCTTTTGCTAATCTTTCATAATCTGAATACATCAATAATCTTATTAAAATGCATTAATGGCTTCTAGGTAATTATGATTTCCAAATCTAATACAATGGATTATAATAATTATGTGTTTATCCAAGTAATTTTATATAATATTATCATAGCCAATAGAGATGAACTATTACAAATGTTTATACAAAATATTATTTACGGTTTCTGTGCTGAATTATAATATTTGTAATTAAGAGAAGTCCATAGAAAAATCAATTTTATTAAAGATTCTTACAACACTGAAATCAATCTAACTAAAGAATTAAGTATTATTATTATATTAATATTTTAGGTAAATATGCTGAAACACTCAAACCTATTCAATTTGTTAAAGAAATGGAAGTATAGGATCTATTAAATTAAGTGTTGTCTTTTGGAGAATATCCAATTAATGAGGCTAATGACAGCTACTTTAATAGATGGAAAACTAAATTTGAAGAGAAATGTGCAGAATATAAAAAATGATATATATCCATTTATCTTATATAATTATTAATGTTTATAAAAATTCTTAAAATTTAATTTATTTAAGATACAAATAAGAATTAAAATGTAAAATAATAAATATAAAAGATTGTTCATTTCTTATCATTAGTATCATTGTTATTTTAAATAGCTTTAACAATGATTTCTTTGAATTCTTTAAATTCGATCTAATTAAAATACAATTTACCTATCCATCTCCATTTTGATCAACCTCTTAAATGAGATCTTTCCAGACCTTTTCAGATACCTAAGAGTTTTGTCCAAAAATTTATTTGATCTCATCAATAGATATAGTTCCACTTCCATCCTTATCAAATAATTTAAATGCTTATTCTAATCTTTTATCTTCTATCAATTTAACTTTATTAAAAGTAGCTAAAACAAATTCTAAAGTGAATATTTATAATATATAACATACCAGAATAATCAATACTACCATTACCATCTTAATCAATTTATTTCATTAATTTATCAACTTCAATTTCAGCATCAGAATAACTCATAACTTTAGAATAACCTTTTTTGATTATAAAATACATAAAGTACCTATAATTAATTCTTCTCTACTTAATCTTCCATCACCATTTAAATCTAATGCTTAAAATTATGTCAATAATTCCTACTTTTCTTAACTAGTAGCTAAATAATTGACCATAAATGTAAGAGCAGCTTCTTAAAACTTTTTTTCAACATTAAAATTTCTCATATTATTTAAAACCTTAGTTAATTGAGGTAAATCAATTTCTGGTTTTTTTACATATGTTGTAATCCAATCATCTTATAAGGCATGTTCAGCAGAAATTCTTTTTTTTGGATCTCTTTCAAGCATTTTTGAAATCAATCTTTTTGCTTCTATAGAAATCAATCTCCATTCCTCAGTATCAAATGAATAGAATCCTCTTTTAACAGCTTCCATAATTAAATTATCATCATCACCATTAAAAGGAGCAGTTCCAGAGAGTAGAATATAGAGAATAACTCCACAAGACCAGATATCACATTTTTCATCATATTTCCTTTCTAATACTTCAGGTGCTATATAATATGGCTAAAATAAGGAATATTATTACAGTCCCAAGCTTTTGATCCATTTTTACATCTGGATCATAAAAACGAGATGTTCCAAAATCTACAATTTTGAGTAATGCATTTGATTTAGAAGATTCATATAGAATATTTTCAGGCTTTAAATCTCTTTATAATAATAATTTTAACTAAATAAATACCTATGAACAATCTTGCTTTTGTGTAAATAATTTACAGCACTCAATATCTGTTTCATTGTTTCAGCTGCTTTACGTTCTGAAAATGAACTAGATTCTTAAATCTTATCAAATAACTCTCCACCTGTGCAAAGTTCTGTTACTATATACATGTTTTTATTATCTTGATAAAATTCATAGATCTTTATTATATTTGGATGATCCTTGAATTAAATAACTGATATATACCAATCTTTTAAGGATGTCAACTTCTTCTTTTAAACGTTCTATGTCAGCCTTTTTTGCCTTTTCTTTTGAAATGATTTTCACAGCTCTAGTTTAATTTGTTAATTTGTGAATGCCCTTTCGAACTTCTCCATATGCACCTAAGCTTCATGATTTAATAAATTTACCTTTTCCTAAAGAAGGTTTCAAAAGATGATAATCTTATGAAATCTGTCCAATCTTTTCAGTTACTAAATTTAGAGATGTCACACGCAATTGAGATTTGTCATTTACTACTAAATGAATTTAAAATATTACTCTATTGAGGATTATTAATATCCGACGGCTTTGCTGAACCGCATCCCATTATTTAATTAATTTTATAATCAAAGTATAACAAAAGTATAACCTCTTCTGAGATATCATCTAAAAATAGAAATTAATTTAGAGAAAGTCTTCATTCCAAGTAGTTTATATATGTTATTCTTGTTTAAATATAGATATAAAATATATATATTAAAAATATTACTCTGAATGGAATATTTTTGAATTATATTAATAGTTAACAGCAAATTTAGAAGTAATATAATAATATCAATAGATAGAATGAAAAATGTAAGAGAAAGTAATTCATTTAGTAGATTCAAGACTAGATAAAAGTCAAGAGACAATGATTAAAATTCTCAAATTCTGAAATTGTAAAGTTAATAGAATGTTAAAAGTAAAACAAGAAGTCTATATTTAGAATTGCCCCCAAAGGCTCAACAAGTGAGTTTCCATCTCTTACCAGAGAGCTATTAAAGACCTAAGACAAAATCAATGGTATAATAAGTAATACAAGTATAATAATATCTAAATGATTAATTAGAAACCTTCAAAAAAAGTATTAAATGATACTCATAATTATTTATCGACCAAATATTAGACAAATAAACTTATCAAACAAAATATTTTTGCAAAGAATCATTCTAAAAAAATGCATTACGTTAGTTATTATCATTGTAATAGAAACATACTTATAATTATTTAGATGATAGTGTATAAAATGAGAATGATGAGTTTTGTATGCATTTTAATAACATGTCTAACGTTTCCTTAGATGCTGAAGGTAAAAATGTTAAATTTATGTTAGCACGTGCTAATAAATTGCACTCTGATAAATCTTAAGAAATAATTGAAGGTAAGAAGCTTTTAAGTTTGGGTTAAACAGAAGAAGCTTAAAAATTATTTGAAGAAATTCTCTAAGCAAGCAATAATCCTGAAGCACGATATTTAAATGGCTTATGTCATTTAAGTAAATCTGAATTTTCAGATGCCATAGCTGATTTAAATCTTTTGATTTAGCAACAACCTCTTTATAAAAGAAATGCTTATATTCTTTTAGCCATTGCTTTTAAAAAATCAAATTGCCCAAATGATGCATTAAATATTGTATCAACATTAACTTAAATTATAGTTAACTCTAGCTATTAAACAATTTAACAAATATTTTGATGCTTACATATATAGAGGTAAATTATTATTGAAATTGAAATAATTTGATCGTGCTTTGAAAGATTTTACAAGTGCTATTGAAATACAGCCAAAAAAAGCAATTGCTTATATTGGATAAGCTGATTGTTATAGATATATGAATCAACCAAAATAAAGTGTCGAGGCTTGTACTTAAGCTATTGAATGTGAAGATTCATCTTTCAGATAAGCCTTAATAAAAAGAACTCTCTTATATATTGATTTAAAAGAATATGATTTAGCACTTTTAGATATTGAAGCTGTATTACATGAAGATCATTGTGATTCTGAAGCTCTTTATATCAAAGGTTTCATTTANTATAATAATATCAATAGATAGAATGAAAAATGTAAGAGAAAGTAATTCATTTAGTAGATTCAAGACTAGATAAAAGTCAAGAGACAATGATTAAAATTCTCAAATTCTGAAATTGTAAAGTTAATAGAATGTTAAAAGTAAAACAAGAAGTCTATATTTAGAATTGCCCCCAAAGGCTCAACAAGTGAGTTTCCATCTCTTACCAGAGAGCTATTAAAGACCTAAGACAAAATCAATGGTATAATAAGTAATACAAGTATAATAATATCTAAATGATTAATTAGAAACCTTCAAAAAAAGTATTAAATGATACTCATAATTATTTATCGACCAAATATTAGACAAATAAACTTATCAAACAAAATATTTTTGCAAAGAATCATTCTAAAAAAATGCATTACGTTAGTTATTATCATTGTAATAGAAACATACTTATAATTATTTAGATGATAGTGTATAAAATGAGAATGATGAGTTTTGTATGCATTTTAATAACATGTCTAACGTTTCCTTAGATGCTGAAGGTAAAAATGTTAAATTTATGTTAGCACGTGCTAATAAATTGCACTCTGATAAATCTTAAGAAATAATTGAAGGTAAGAAGCTTTTAAGTTTGGGTTAAACAGAAGAAGCTTAAAAATTATTTGAAGAAATTCTCTAAGCAAGCAATAATCCTGAAGCACGATATTTAAATGGCTTATGTCATTTAAGTAAATCTGAATTTTCAGATGCCATAGCTGATTTAAATCTTTTGATTTAGCAACAACCTCTTTATAAAAGAAATGCTTATATTCTTTTAGCCATTGCTTTTAAAAAATCAAATTGCCCAAATGATGCATTAAATATTGTATCAACATTAACTTAAATTATAGTTAACTCTAGCTATTAAACAATTTAACAAATATTTTGATGCTTACATATATAGAGGTAAATTATTATTGAAATTGAAATAATTTGATCGTGCTTTGAAAGATTTTACAAGTGCTATTGAAATACAGCCAAAAAAAGCAATTGCTTATATTGGATAAGCTGATTGTTATAGATATATGAATCAACCAAAATAAAGTGTCGAGGCTTGTACTTAAGCTATTGAATGTGAAGATTCATCTTTCAGATAAGCCTTAATAAAAAGAACTCTCTTATATATTGATTTAAAAGAATATGATTTAGCACTTTTAGATATTGAAGCTGTATTACATGAAGATCATTGTGATTCTGAAGCTCTTTATATCAAAGGTTTCATTTATACTAAAAAATGTAAATTATTGTATCTATATTTATTTTAGATTAAATTTAAGAAGCTTTCCTAGCTTATGAATAATCAATTAAACATAATAATTCAAAAAAAGCTGTTTCTAAATCTCTATATGAAATCACTAAAATTAAAATTGAATAAAGAGATTTTTATGAAGCATTTTATCAGTTAAGTCGTGCTGATTATTTAGATGTAGATGAGAAAATCTTAGAGAAATTCAAAATATTTACTGATGGAGTTACATTTTTAATGAAACGTAAATTTGATGAAGGTGTTGAGGCTTTAACAACAATCATTAATAAACATTAAATTACAGATTTTTTAAAACCTCTTATTTATTAATATAGAGCATATGGATATTTCTGTTAATCATAGTATTAGAAGTCTCTTAATGATCTAAATTAATTAACTTCCCTTGAAAAACCCTCCATTTATAATAAATTAATTGCTGAAGGAATTCTTGCTGCTATTGCTAATTAATTTGAATTATCTTAAGGATACTTTTTAAAAGCATAAAAATTAATACCTAATAAAATGGAACCTTATTTTTATAAAGCTACAACACTGGTTAAATTTTATAGTTAACTTATTCTAAAAGATGATACTGAAAAAAAAAATAAATTTTTAAATGATGCTCTGAAATATATGGATATAGCAGTTAAAATTAATGAGCAATCTAATCTCTTATTTTATAGAGGAATTGTATTATTTGCATAAGGAAGATTAGATGAATCTTTAATTGATTTAGATAAAGCTATAGAAAAATCAGAAGATCATGTAGCAAAACATTTTTATGTAAGAGGCTTAATACAAGCCTGTAGGAATGCATTTGAACTTGCTCTTAATGATTTAACAATCACAATAAATCTTGATGAAAAATTCGTAGATGCTTATTTAAATAGAGCAAAAATATTTCTATAATTGGGAGATAGAAAAAATGCATATTATGATGCTTAAAAATATAAAGAATGTAAATAGACTGATGCTTAAACTGACATTTTAATAGGAAATTTATTTTTTTAAATTGGAGCTTATGAAGATGCTATTTAATCATATTCAGATAGCATCAGCTCTGAAAAAAGTTTACAAGTTTTATATTATAGAGCTAAAACTTATATTCTAATTAAAGAATTAAATAGTTCTATGCTTGATCTATAAAAAATAGTTGAATAATCAAATGATATTCATGCTATTGTAGACTTAAATATTTTACAGTAATTAAAAAATACATCAACTGCAAATACTGATTAAAATTTATTTTAAGAAGCTCTACAATGTAGTAATCAAATTTTAAAAAAAGGAGTTGAAGGAAAAATATTCAAAAAATCAGATATTTTATTTTATAAAGGATTATTTTTATTCTATTTAAAATAATATGATAATGCTTAATAAGTTTTAAGAGAGTCATATAAAATCAAAGAAGAACAATAAAAGAAGCAATTAGGTTCTATGAATGATTCAGACTAATAAATTTTAGACTAGTTGAATCAAACCTAAAAAAAAAATGAATATAAAAGCAAACTTTTGGAAGAATTCGAATTCAATGATAGAACTTATAATTTATTCGAATACTATTTCAATAGAGCTTCTATTCATTTAATATTAGGTTAAATAGAATAAGCACTTGATTATTTAGAATAATTACATGAGAATATAGCCTAATTAGAAATCTAAGAACATCTCTCATTATTTATTTAATTATTGAAAGAAGATTAAAATCCAAAAAGTGAAATCAATCCTGAACTTTCCAAACTTACTGAATTTATTATCTTTCCTCAACATAATAGATTATGCTCAATCTATCCAATGATCAAATTACCTCTAAAAAAATATAAGTAAAACTTATAACTAAGATTATCTTTTTGTTTACCTACAGTAGAAATTCCTGAAATAAATATCAAATTTGATGATAAATTACTAGAAACCATTAGTGTAATAAATTATATATAATTTTAGCCTACTGTTGTTGAAAATAAACCTGAAGCTCCTTGGATTAAAAGATCAGCAGAAGGAGTCATTTTTACAGATAATGTTCAAATAGTTGAAGATTTAGATCTACAATCAACCACAAGGCCTTCGAAAAAATAAACAGAAATTGAAGATCCAGAATTCTTATAATTTGAAGAATAATTAAATCATGCAATTGAAAAATATGATTATAGTGAAATAGATTAATAAGATGAAATCGTTGAATAACAAGCTTAAGCAATAGATATACAGTAAATTAAATAAAACTTAATGCTTGATTCTAAAATTGCAGACAAATTAAATTCTATTCTATAAAAAAAAGCTTAAAATTGACTCATATATCTATTTATTTATTCAATTAAATAATCGAAATATAAATAGAAAATTTTATAATCAGTATGCTTTAAAAGACTGTTGACGTTTCTCTTAAATTGATTATTGATAAAGTTTTTATTTATACTTCTCCCAAGATTTTATTTCTTTTCTTATAGAATTGATCTCATAATCATCAAACTCTTTCATTTATCTTAATCCTGATACAATTTAGTTTTAAAGGCTTTCTGGAAGATTTTAGAATCTTTTTTAATCCAAAAAGAAAACACTACCTTAAACACTCTTTAAAACAACTGTTAATCTATTACTAAACATATGATAATTACTTTGCTTTACTAACCATTTCTTGATTATATTCATTATCATACTAAATTAATAATGATCTACCACAAATTACATCACATTTTTTAAGTGTTTTCAAAATATGTAAATGTGTATATTCAATTAAGTTTTTACCTTTAATTTGCTTATTACAATATTGATAGCATTTTTAATTTTTTATTACTTATTAATTATTAGTAAAAGATAAATCAAATGATTAATCAGGAATATCTCTTGGTATTTCAGGCCTAGTATTTCTATCTATATTTTTTTTTTATTTTAAAGGTTTTAATTTATTTTCTAAAAAATAATTTCTTGTTTCTCTAGTAAATTGAATTTCTTCAACAATTTCAAACTCACCTGATGCAATAATAATTACTCTATTTAATTCATCACCTTTTCTAACAACACAATCTCCTTAAGAGTAATTTTAAATTCCCAATTCTGCTACTAAATGTAATAATTAAGAAGCTGAAGTATATTAAAAAAATCTGATTTGTGAAAGTATACTCAATTTAAATTCTTTGTCTTTTTCAATAGATTATTTTAAAATCTTTTAGAATTGATCATTATTCATTCTTAATAAATAAGTTTATTCTGCACAGGAAATGTGACTGGTTATCAATTTAGTTCTTTCATTTTTTATAAGTTCTTGTTATACATGATATTGCTACCTTTCAATTTCGGATGTTCTTTGATTCCTTCTACCAAATCTATATATTTATTTACAGAATATCCTCTATTGTTGTTTAATTATAATAAATTAATTTCTGATAAATCTTAACCATCAAAATAAGATTAGACTGTTAAATATTCATAATCTTCTAATTGAATATCCATTGTTAATGTTTATTAACAAGAACCTCTGAGAATTACAAAAAGATTGTTACTATTACCTCCTAATTGAAGAATAACTTTTCCAACATTATGAATTTATATTGATGCTTTTTCCATTATTCCAATTCTTATACCTTATCCAAATCTTTAAAAAAACTTATTTTTCAATAAGATTTTATCCAAAGTCAAATAATTTCTTTCATATTCTTCTTTTTAAAATTCTTAAACTAAATATTTTAATTCATCCAAACTAAATACATTAAATTCTAATTTTTTATAATCTACCTAATAAATCCATTCATCATTTTCTAAAGAATCTGATTCCAAATTCTTTTAAATTGAATTAACTTCTTCTTTTATTTTATCAAGTTGTTCATTTTAATTTATAATAGGTTTTAAGGTTTCTTAAATTAATCCTTATTAAATAATAGTCAAATTTCTAATTATAAACATTTATACTCTAGTTTTAATTCTCCATGATGTTCTACTTAAATATTTTAATTTTGATTATTTTCTTCTTCTTTATTTCCATAAACAACCGATTTACTATAAGATATAGGTCTTTTATTATTAGTTTTATATGAAGTATTCTTAAAAATGTTATAATAAAGCTTACTATTCTTCTGTTGTGCCTACTACTTTCTTTAAAAGACGATTAAAATTTATTAACAACTTCAGCAGTATCAACAGTTTTTTATAATTCTAATGCAATTTACATACTTTCTCTTCTGGGATCAATATATAAAGAGTTTATAGTTCTATTTATTGTGTTTATTGTAATTGAATTATTTGTTTTACTCTTCGTTAAACTCAACGAATTATTGCTTTCATATTGCAATCTAAATTGTTACATTTGATCATAAAAACTCTAACTATTCTATCTCTTATTTATAGATTCTTAATGCATTTTATTTCGATTCTACTTGAATGCCTATTTGGCTCTAAATATATTATACATAATTATTTCTCTTTTGTTTATATTTTATATTTTTGCAATATTAAATCAATCAATCCATCTAGTTGTGTATCTTGCATCTCCATGACTAAGAGCCTTTTAAATGTCTGATGGTAATTTTGGATAATTAGCTGTCCAATATGAAATATCATTATCATTCTTGATATCCATTCCAATTTTATTAAATATGGTTAATCCTACTACTGCTAAAATACCTTTCATGTATATGGAACTTGAAGCACAATAAATATCTCCCATAAATCTGCCTAACTTAAAAATTGTTAACAAATTCATTTACAAAAAGACCAACAACTGGTAATCCCCATCTAATTCCATTTATTTATTAATCTGTAAACTTTCTAGGTAAAGCTTGTCCCTCTAAATTAAAATATTTATTAATACCTTCTGATTATTAAAATCTATTCAATGACTTTCTAAGTCTTGATTTATTCTCCCAATCTGCATGATTTCTACCAGCATTGAGATTATAAAAAGGATTTCCATAAACTGTAAATCTTGTAAGGAAATACTCCATTTATTTATTATATTATTTTATATATTAAAATAATTGATTAAAGCCTATATCAAAAAGTAATCATTAAATTGAATTATTTTTTATCAATAATGAAAAGCAAATCGTAAATTGTCATTCATAATATATAATCCATATTCTTTCAATTAATTTTTATGGTTTATATTTAAATTTTATTAAATTATATTTTCTGTTTTTACAAATTTATATATAAAATGTCCCTTCACTTCAATTTTAATTCCTTAATTATTGTTTACATACATTTTTCATAAACTGATCTGGTTTAAAGTCTATAAATATATATAAATTATCATAAAAAATAGTTCATAACTATTTAAATTCAAATTCAGTAACATTTTTAGAAACTCTTTTCTAATCAGAGAAATTGAATTTAATTATAGCTATTACAGATTCTAATAATAAGTTTAGTAGTTTTCTCATTTTAATTTCTGTATTTTAAGAATTATATTAGAGGATAATAATTAAGATGTACTTATTCATAACCAATCCATTATTTAAGTCTTTTGATGCTTTATAATTAGAAATTTGAAATTTGGATGGTAAAATTAGGTATTTAAGAGAGGAAAATGAATTTAAATATTTATAAGCTTCTATTTATGTTCATATAAGAAGAAATACTATATTAATTTAAGAAAGAACATGAAATGATTGATTTTGAATGAATCCTTTAATATGTTTTGGTAATATTTCATAAAAATTTCTAAAAATCAATAAGTTTTTGTCATAAAATAATAAAAACACATTATTATTTAGGTATTAAAATCATTCTTTGTTGTAAATAAATGCAAAATGATCCAAAAAGAACGGCTAATTAATAAATAAGAACTTATACATGCTGTATGGCCTATTAGCTAGTTATCCGTTTTGTTGGATCAAGTTATAATAATTTCTAGAAAATTCGAGACAAATACATACATTGATTAAATCAATAAACAAATTATTGAATTTAGCAAACAGGGAATTTTATTTAAACCATTCATCTACAAGATTGTTTTTAAGTTAATACCTCCATTAATGAGATTTTTAATTAATAAGAGTTAATGGATTTCAGAGGAACCCATAAACAATGGTTTATTAAGTGCAATTTCTACAATAACACATCCAAGAGACCACATATCGATAGCATAATCATAAGAATGACAATTTTGTAATAATTCTGGTGCACGATACCATAATTAAGTTACTCCTGGAGTTAGATTAGGAGAGAAAACCCTTGATAATCCAAAATCTATAATGATTGGTTCATTATTCTTAACTAAAATATTGTTTGGTTGAAGATCTCGATGTATAATTTTTCTACTATGAATGAATTCCACTGCCAATAGTATCTTATAAATTATATTCTTAATTAATTTATAGTGAAATACTTTAAGGTGAGATTCCTCATGATTAGACTTCAAATACTCCTTCAAATCTGTATCGTAATAGTTCATAACCAAATGAAGTTTCTTATTTATAATTATTTAAGATATCAACCTAAATTAATCCTCACTTTTCTTTACTTTATTATGTTGGGATGATTGAGTTAATTTAAAATCGAGATTTCTCTAAGAGCACAGCTAGGAACACCTTCATTATCCTTTGAATATATCATTTTCATACACTTAGTTTAAATTTCTTCAGTGCTACTATTTCGTCAGTTTAGACATCTTAAGCTTTGTAAATGATTCCATAAGCTCCCTCTCCTATTTTTTATATCTTAATATATCTCATATTTTAGGGGACACTCATATAATAATAAATTATATCTTTGATTAATACAATATTTTATGAATCACATATAATTCTGTTGCATTCGAATTAATATTCACAAATTTACATATTTTTTAAGTAAATACCCCCATCATTTTCAATTGTTAAATTTAATTAGTATGGAATTCACAAAATAAACAATAATTTAATTTAAAAAGATAATATAAAAGTACGAAAACAAAATAAATAGAATTCAAAAGAATATGCATCGTTCTTCTTAATGAAATTAAATTAAGTAATAAATAATAAAATTATTTGATATTTAATTTATATATATAAGTAATTCACTTAAATTTAAAAAGCATAGGAATTCTAAATTAGCAGCAACTACAATAAAATTAGGCTAAACTGGAATTATTTAGACTTTTCATATCTCTGATGAATACCAATAAACTAATTTTATCTAACATTACTTATTTTGATTATATATTATTTATATGAGTTTCTAATAATAATTACAATAAGCTTTTTTCGAATAATAAATCTCTGGGCATTCTATATTTATTAAACTAAATGATGGAGAATTTGTAGCTAAATCCTCCTAGATTGAAAATAATAATGAATAAAAGTATTTTCTATAAGCTAATTAGTTTTTATGAATGGATTCAGCATATAGAGGGATATTAAGAGTTCTTTTCTCAATATAATGGAGTTGTGATTCTTGAGAAAAATCAAGAATTATCGAATTAAGAAACAATTAACTCTTAATAAAAATGGTTAAATTCTCTCATTTCTAAGAGATATAATCCAAATAATAAGAGTATATATTCTAAAAAGTTTTCATAGAATATTTGTTATTAGAAAACTTGACTTAAAATTCCTAAAATTTGAGAATTCTAGACTTGAAATTAGGTTATACAGTTGAGAAATAATCACATATATAGCGATATAAAGATTCAACTTCATCTAAAATAGGTTTAAGAATTTGTGGAATGAAGATATAAGAAAATAATGAATTGGTGATGTTTAAGGATAAACATTGGGGTAGGACTATATCAGTATTGGAATTAATTGAATCTCTAAAGACTTTTTTTAGTTTAAAAAATAGAAATAGTAAGTTATGTTTATTAAATTTAGAAATTTTAAAAGAAGCAATAGAGAAAATAGAATAGTTAAAGTAGTTTATAACTAATAATTGTAAGTAAGTGATTTCATGGCAAGGAGCAAGTTTGTTATTGATTTATCAAAACGATAATGATTTTAAAATTAAGTTAATTGACTTTTCTAATACCAAAGTGGACCCAGAATCTACTGAATTTAATGTTGAGATTATTAAAGCATTAAATAGTCTTTAGGATATAATAAAATAAATTTGATGTTTGATTGATATAATAATTTTTCAGTTTTCTAGAGGAATTGATAAATATAAAAGAAAATAATCAAATCCATTAAAAGTTTTTATATTTAAAAATATATGTAAGGAGCTCCAGTGATTGTGGTGAATGCTAACACAAAAAGAGAATAGGGTAGAAAAGCTTAATTAGGAAATATCTAAGCAGCAAAAGCTGTATCAGATATAGTCTTAACTACTCTTGGACCTAGATCAATGTTAAAAATGTTACTTGATCCAATGGGCGGTATTGTAATGACAAATGATGGAAATGCAATTTTGAGAGAGATTGATGTTTAGCATCCAGCAGCAAAGAGTATGATTGAATTAGCAAGAGTATTTTTTAATTACTATAAATTTACAGGCTCAAGATGAAGAAGTTGGAGATGGAACAACATCAGTCATCATATTAGCAGGTGAAATGATGGTAGCAGCTAGACCATTCATTGAAAAGAATATTCATCCAACTGAAATTGTTAATGGATATTTTAGAGCCTTAGAAGATTCTGTAAAAATATTGGATGAGATATCATAATAAATAGACACAGAAAAAAAAGAAGAAGTAATGAAAGCATTACAATCTTGTATTGGTACTAAATTTGCATTTAGATGGGGAACATTAATTAGTGATCTTTCATTATAAGCAACCAGAATAGTTCTAAGAGGAGGAAATGTTAATAAATTAAATCTAGAAATTAAGAGATATGCAAAAGTAGAAAAAATACCAGGAGGAACTCTTGAAGAAAGTTAAGTACTTGAAGGAGTCATGATTAATAAAGATGTTACACATCCAAGAATGAGAAGAGAAATTAAAAATCCAAGAATCATTTTATTAGATTGTACATTGGAATATAAGAAAGGTGAATCAATGACAAATATGGAAATGACAAAGGAATCTGATATGACTGATGCTCTTTAATAAGAAATAAATGAAGTTGCTCTTATGTGTAATGATATTTTGAAACACAAACCTGATATTGTGATTACAGAAAAAGGAGTTTCAGATTTGGCTTAACACTTTTTATTAAAAGGAAATGTCTCTGTGATAAGAAGAGTTAGAAAAACAGACAACACAAGAATTGCAAGAGTTTCAGGTGCCACAATAGTGAATAGACCAGAAGAATTATAAGAGACAGATGTTGGTACATTATGTGGAACATTTGAAGTCAAAAAAATAGGAGATGACTATTTTGCATTTTTTGTAGATTGCTAAAATCCAACAGCATGTTCAATTATTTTAAGAGGAGCATCAAAAGATGTTCTAAATGAAATGGTAATAGTTTATATTTATATAATTTAGGAAAGAAATTTACATGATTGTTTGGCAGTTGCAAAAAATATATATTAAGATCCAAAATTATTACCAGGAGGAGGAGCTGTAGAAATGGAAGTTAGTGCTAGATTATTAGAGAAAGCAAATAAAGTTGAAGGATTAGGTTAATTACCTTATAAAGCTGGTATTTTTAATTTTTAAAGCATTTAATAGTTGCTTACGCTTTGGAAATTATTCCTAGAACTCTTTCAGCAAATTGTGGTGCTGATACTGTTAGAGTTTTGACAGAATTGAGAGCTAAACATAGTGAAGTTGGAGGTTTGTTTTATGGAGTAGATGGAAATACAGGAAAAATAGCAAAAATGAATGAAATTAATGTTTGGGAACCCTTATCTGTAAAAAAGTAAATAATTAAATTTATAATTATAGATAAGTTTTTAAAACTGCTATCGAATCAGCTTGTATGTTATTGAGAATTGATGATGTTGTATCAGGAATTAAAAAGAAGTAATAACAATCAGGACGTCAAGGAGAAGAAGAACCTTAAGAAACTTTTGGAGATTAAAGGGATGGTTGATAAATAAATCAATATCAATATAGTATAGATATATTAATGTAATACAATAATATATATATTTTAATTAAAGAAATTGAAATGACTTTCAAGAACAAAGAGATCAAATTTTCTAGCAAATTCTAAAATATTATTTATATTTGTGCGTATAAAAATTTAATTCTGATAATTATTTTATTTAAGTTCAATTTGTAGATTCATAATGGCATCTTAATTCAAGAAATTGGCACCTCTCCTCAATAGAGTTTTAATTTAAAAGCATGAACCAGTTACAAAAACAGCATCAGGAATCCTATTATAAAATTCAGATGACAAATAAGCAGTAGGAAAAGTTGTTGAGGTAAGAATTTTATTCTAGAAATTTCCAGGCTGGTCCAGGTTAAATAGATTCAAAAGGAAATGTCATCCCAACTTTAGTCAAACCTGGTGATGTTGTCTTACTTCCAGATTATGGAGGATAGAAAATCAAGTTGGCAGATTAAGAGTATTTCATTTTTAGAGATTCAGACATTATTGGAATTTTACATTAATGATTTCTATTATAATGTATAATAAGACATATTCATTAATTTATCTCTTAGTATTTAATTGAGGATTGACCTCATTTTTAATATGAACTTTAATAATTTATATCATATATTATATTTATTATATAAATCTTAACTTTTGATGAGTACCTCTTTAACAAAGCCTAAAAAGCTGAAATTGACAGATTATGAAGTATTTTAAACTCTTGGCACAGGTACTTCATCAATATACAACTTAATTAGGTTCATTTGGACGAGTCAAATTAGCAAGGAACAAATAAACAAATAAATATGTAGCCTTAAAAAGTTTGAAGAAAGCTGAAATTATACGTTTAAAGCAAGTTGATCATGTCATTAATGAAAATACAATATTGGGCAATTTGCAGCATCCTTTTATTGTATATTTAAGATAAATTAATTTTTAGGTTAATTTTGAAGGATTCTGTCAAGATCCTAGATACTTATATCTAGTTTTAGAATTTGTATCTGGAGGTGAATTATTTACTTATTTGAGAAGTATAGGAAGACTTGACACATAACATGCTGCGTATAAAAAAAAATTATTATTTAGTTTTTATGCTTCTTAAGTTGCTTCAATCTTTGAATATTTACATTCAAAAAATATTATTTATAGAGATCTAAAACCAGAAAACTTATTAATAGCAGATGATGGATACTTAAAATTGACAGATTTTGGATTTGCTAAAGTAGTTGAAGGAAGAACATATACACTTTGTGGAACACCTGAATATTTGGCACCAGAGATTTTATTGAATAAAGGACATGGTAAAGCAGTTGATTGGTGGACATTGGGAATATTAATTTATGAAATGAATGCAGGAATTGATCCCTTCTCTGATGAAGATCCTATGGCAATTTACCAAAAAATTCTTAAAGGAAAGGTTAAGTTTCCAAAAACTTTTGATAAGTATTCAGTAAGAATAACATAGAAATGCTAAATCCTTAGTCAAACATCTATTAGTTGCAGATCTATCTAAAAGATATGGAAATTTAAAGAATGGTAACTAATTAATATTTATTATACATAGGGGCTGATGATATAAAAAGTCATAGATGGTTTGGAAATCTTGATTGGAATTTGTTAACATAAAAGAAATTACCTGTTCCTTATAAACCAGTTGTTAAGTAATTCTTTAAAACAATCACATAAGAGCACCAAATGACACATCAAATTTTTCATCATATCCAGAATCCGATACTTAAAGTCCAGCCCTTAAACCTGCAGATGATCCCTTCCTTGAATGGTGAATTATTCATGATATTGAATAAATATATAATAATAACAAAAAATGGAATTGATTATTTATTTTAAATATCATCGACTTGTATAGAAAAAGAAATTTCTTAAAATTTTTAATTAATAATCATTGACCTAACACAGTTATTAGATCAAGATAGGTTATTGTTTCTTTTAACCTAATAATATTTATTAATATTTTTTTAATGAATGCTGTAAGAAATTAGGATGATATAAGGATAGTTTAAATTTATAATGTAATTTAATATAATAATTTTGTATTGGAAACTAAAAGATAGTTGAAAAAAGAAATGAAAAATGTGGAAATAATAAATCGATAGTAATTTTATTTAAAATAACGAATAAAAAATTCAGTGGAATAATAGTTAGAGGTATAAAATGAAATTTAATTAATTAATTTTATATTAAAATAAATATCTTTAAATGGGTTGTTCTTCTTCAAATGTAAAACTGTCAATATATAAAATAGAGTGCGGATGTTAATAATCCTGGAAATGCTCCTAAGGCTGAAGTTATTTTCATTTTGGTATTTTTTAAATATAATTTGATTAGGGAGGTCCTGGATCAGGTAAGGGTACATAATGTGAAAAGATGGTAAAAGACTATTGTTTTTTACATATAAGTACAGGAGATTTACTAAGAGCTGAAAGATAGAAAGGTAGAAAAGAATTAATATAAATTAGGTGGACCTGATGCTGAAGAATTGGAAAATATAATGAGAGAAGGAAAATTAGTTCCATCTGATACATTAGTAAAATTAATAAAAAAAGTAAAAAGTGTTAGTGAATTAAAAAGGAAATAGAATCTTTAGGAAATACAGGAAGATATATTTTGGATGGATTTCCAAGATCATAAGATAATTGGTAAAGTTGGACTAAAATAATTGGAAATTCTGTAAACGCAAGATTTTTATTAATGTTCGAATGTTCAGAAGCAGTAATGGAATAGAGACTTTTAAAGAGAGGATAAACATCAGGTCGAGCAGATGATAATGCAGAAACAATAAAGAAAAGATTTGCTACATTTATGAATGAAACATAACCAGTAGTAGCTGATTTTGAAAAAAGAAATATGGTAATTAAAGTTAGTGCAGAAGCAGCACCGGAAGAAGTTTATGAGAATGTTAAAAAAGCATTAATAAATAAAGGAATTTAGGCATAAAAACGACCTGAAGTTTTATTTGTTTTAGTAATCAATATTTAAATTTGAAGGGAGGACCTGGTTCAGGTAAAGGAACTTAATGTGTCCGTATTTCAAAAGAATTTTAATATGTACATTTATCAACAGGAGATTTATTAAGAGAAGAACAAAAAAAAGAAGGTCCTATGCAAGCAGAATTAAAATCAATAATGGAAGCAGGTAAACTTGTACCATCTGATCTTGTTGTTAAATTAATGAAAAAAGTATTTATATTATATATAAATAATAGGAATTATTAAGGAGATAATTTAGAGGAAAATATTTATTAGATGGATTTCCTAGAAATTAAGAAAATATAGATTCTTGGAATAAAATTTTAGCTCCTTTAGTTGATGTTAATTGTTTACTTTACTTTGAATGTTCTGATGATGAAATGACAAAAAGACTTTTAGAAAGAGCTAAAACATCAGGAAGAGCAGATGATAATGAAGAAACAATTAAAAAAAGATTGAATACTTTCCATTCTGAAACTAAGCCTGTTCTTGGAATATTTAAAGATTAAAGTAATATATTAAATATAATTAGATAAATTAAAGGTTATAAATTCAGAATAATTAGTTGATGTTGTATATTCCAATGTTAAGAAGGAATTTAAAAGTAGAGGATTGGCAGTTACATAAAATGGTTAGAGACCTTAAAAAGGAAAATATGTTATAGGTTTGATTGGTGCTCCAGGAACAGGAAAATAAGTTTAATCAACTAGAATATCAAAAAGATTTGGTTTCTAACATCTTTCGACTAAAATGTTAGTTAGAGATGAAATTAAAAAAAATACCTAAGATTCATAAACCATAAAAGAATGTTAAAAAAATAATTAACCTATTCCTGGTAAAGTGATTGTAAAATTGATACTAGCTGCTATTAATTAATCAAAAGCTGTAATTATTTTTGTTTTATTTATAGAGAAAATTCATTGTAGATGGTTTTCCAAGAAATTAAGATAATCTGAATGCTTGGTATGCTTAAACAAATAATCCAATAAAATTAAAATATATAATGTGTTTTGCATGTTCTTAAGAAGTACTTGATAAAAGGATTGCTGCAGATGTTGGTAATAATTAAAATATTATAATAATAAAGCTAAGAAAGATTAAGCAAGTATTTAGAGAAAAGTTGAAGTATTAAATAATTAAACAAACTAAATAATTCAATTGTTTAAGAAAGATGAAAGACTTATTGAGATAAACACAGAATCTTCAATTGATGAAGTATTTGGTGAGATTGAGAAAGTTTTTATTGCAAAAAAGTTAGATAGATGAGACATAAATAAAATATAATATAGATATAAATTATAAATGTCTTAATTAATTAGAATTATATTTATATAAATCAATTATTGTTTATTGCAGCATCAATGAAAGAATTCCATTCAATAGCATTATATCTTTATAATTCAATAGAAAGAAATTTAATTTTCTACATCATCTTTTCAATTAGATTAGATTCCTATTCAGAGAACTATCGTTATGGAATTCCTAAGAGCAGTTTTTCTATCATGTTATAGTATTCATATGATTTAGAATGTTATCTTCTCCACATTTAGAAATCTTATTTCAGGATTAGAAATGATTAATGAAGTTTAGAGGTAGTGTCATTTAACATAGGTAAGAAATAAAGACAAATATTACGATCTTCATCTTCAAGATGTTTTAAAATTATTAAACATGGTATTGCCACAAAAATATCACTATCTCTACATTCTAATTGTTCTTTAAATTATTAATATTTTTCAGCTGATGTTTCAATAATATGAGAAAATAACATAAGTTAAGTATATCTCTTTGGATCTAGTAGATAATTCAACCCTTTTTCCCATTAAGTTTCATATTCAACCAATAAATCAACTAATTCTTAATTATTTTTTAATTGAGGATCTACCATTTCAATATTACCTTCATATTTTCTCATCTATTCTCTAAACTTTTGAAAACTTAACTATTATAATTAGTTTACTTGATTTTGATACTATCAGCAAGATTTCTAACTGCTTAAGATTACTCTCTAGTAACTCTTCTGGTTATACCTTCTGCTTCAAGTAGGATATTTACACCAAGATCATCTCTTCCTTTACCTTCAACATTAGCGACGGAATTAATTTTAGCTATCACTTTGCATAACTAGCTTGAGTATGTGAGTTACTTAAGCTTTTAATTGTAAATAATTATCAGAAGTCACAAGGATTCTTCCCTTCAATTTCTCTCTTACTTCAATAGAAATCATTTCTTTATCTATTTCTATTGCCCTTAATATATATCTTCTAGCTTCTGCTTCTATCTACATCAACTCTTTGACATAATACTTGATTAGAAATATAAAATACTTTTTCGAAATTAACCCATATAATATCAAAATTCTCTAACAAAAATTGAATTTCAGCTTTCAATTTAGAAGAAGAGAAATCAGGACTTTCTTATCCTGTGCCAGAATATGTATATCTGATTACATGTTAAACCTTATAAAAAGCCTCAACCAATCTTACACCTGCATCCAAAACATCAGTTGAAAATGTATATTTCTCAGAATTAACCCATAAATAAGGAAAACCTAACTCTTCAATCTCATATTTTTACCTTCTTAAGCACTATCTAAAATTTCAGTCAAGTAACACAACTCACCTTCTGTATATAATATTTTATAAGCTTTTGAAAATGTGTCACGATAATCTCTTGAAACTGCTGTCACTTTATATACCTAAGTGTTATAGTTATCAAATACTTTACACATATTTTCAAGATGGTACAAAAATTTCTTACAACTATGTTATCCTTCTGGATTATCTAAATCATATTTCTAATAATCTCTCTAAATTAATTAACTCTAACTTCTATATGCTTTCTCTAATGCCTCAAATTCATCTGATCTGACTATATTTTTTATTATTTACCTCTTAAATTCCTCCAAATCAGTTAATGGTCTTGGAGGTGCAGTCATACATCTCTTTTATATAGATTCTTCATATGAAGTAGCATCAGAAACTGAACTATTAATTCATAATCTCTTACTATCATCATCAATCTCACAAAAATGCTAATTTAACATTTATATTTATTTATATAATTAAAATTAATTTATCAAAAAATAATACTATATTATAACATCAATTTAGATTAGTAAATATAAATTCAGCAATTACTTTCTGTATCTCCAAAAGAAAATTATCAAAACTTTTCTCCTACTTTACACTTTTACCAATTTGTCTCTCTAAATTTTAAAATACTTTCTAATTAGACAATTTTATTGGTTCTTTACGAGCATTCATCAATAATTATCCTTCATTTAGAATTCCTTCTATTATTTCCACAAAAACCTCATAAATCTAAGGTCTATAACGATGTTATAATCTCTCTTTAAGCCATTCTACATTAGTCTTTTTGCTTTAATCAAGTTTGTAGCTTTTGTTAGCATTTTAAAATATCTTAATATAGAATGTTTCCATACCCAATATTTTTGATTGAAATATCTTTCAATTAATAAACAATCAATTGAGCATATCTTTTTACATCCATAAGTAGTCAAATTTAACTTATAGTCTGCTTCTTTCTCATTCTTATTTAATTCTACTTGATTATTATTTTTAAGGAAAAAATTTGATTAATCAATCAATTCATACTTTTATTCACCTAATATTTAATAACAGTATTACCTAATATTGGATATATAGGTGTTGAAGCTATAAACATATATTAATTAATAGGTATTTGAAAGTCAGTTTATTTATGTTCAAATGAATTTGATTCACTTTTATTATGAAATTCATTTAATGGATTTCGATATCTCTAAAAGGAACTTTCTGCTTCTAATTGATTTATTATTAGATTATATAATACATTTTAAAGTGGGAATTCTTGAATGGATCAAATTGAATTCCATAATAAAATTAATTAATGCAATAAATAAAAGGACTGTTCACAAATTTGTTAGAAAATTTTGAATAAATGATATCAAATATAGATGGGTATTATATATTATATATTACTAAGTCTTCAAATAGAAATCATCAAATAACTTCTCGAAGAAACATTAGAGTAAATGTATGAAATTAATACTCAACTGAAGGAATCAAATCATCCAACTCCTGAAAAAACATCTGTTTCAAGAGCTACTTAATAGAAAATTTAAGATTAATAAACTGCTTTGCTTCATTAAGAGAATGAAATAGGTCAACTCAAGTCAGAAATATCATAACTTAAGAATAAAATTGTGCTGTTAAATAATTAATTAAAAGATTAAGATATATGTATATTTAATTCATTTAATATTTAGAATACTATGAACTTTAAGAATTAACAAAGAAACAATAAGATAAGAGTTCTCATGAGTCTAAAAATATGAAATAATTCTATCTAGAGATTGCTTAATTAAAATAAACAATTAAGTAATAAGATGATCAATTGCAATTGCTTATCAATTAGAATAAAAATTTAGAAGATGGTATACTAACCATATATTTTAGAAACTTAGTAAACAAAGCAAAATTTATTAATTTAATTGGAGAATAAGGGTCAAGAATTAGAAATTAATCATTAGTAATATTTATAAATGGAAAAAAAATATTCAACAGAAATTTTGTTTTTAACTTAATAAAATTAAGAATTATAACTTTTGGATTAATAATATAAAGATTAATTCTTAAAATAATAAGAAGAATTTGAGAGATTCTAAAATTTGTTTAAAGAAATTTAAAACTAAAACTAATTAAAATAATTAAATAATGATTAGTTAATTTAATTACAAATTGAATTTGAAGAATATTAAAATAAAGCTGAAGAAGAATTATTAGCATAAAAATAATTAATTAAAGAACTTAATACAACTATTAATTAAAAAAATTAAGAGATTATTTTATAAATATCCTAAATTAAAGATTTATAGTAATAAATTGATAATAAAGATCAGGATTAATTTTAAGTTATAAAAGAAAAAAATTCATATTAATTAACTTTAAAATCAATGGAATAACGATTTAAAAAATAATTAGAAGACTATTAAGATGAATTTGAAAATTTAAAGTAATTGATTGAAGAATAAACAGAAATGAATAAATAAAATTAAGTTAAATATTAAGAACAGGAAGAATTAGCTAATAATTAAAAATAAATAATTGAGGATTATATTGAATAAATTTAGAATCATTAATAAGAAAAGAAAAAATACAATAGAGAAATCGAAAAAATGAAAATTATAAATGAAGGTTTACAAGATTAAATAGATTAAGTCAACAATTCAAATCTGGCTGCTATTGAAACATCAAACAAAGAGTTAAGATATTAGAAAAGCCTTGTAAAATAATTAGAATAAGAAGTGATTTAATTAACATCAACAGTAAAAGCTTAAGAACTTTAAGTCTAAGATTTATAGGAATAATTAGCCTAAACAAATATAATTTAATAATCAAAAGATTTATAATTCAGAGAGTTATAATAAGAAAAGTAATCACTTGATAGATAATTTTATTAAATTGAATATAATTATTAAGAAGAAATAAAAAATTTAGAACTAAAAATTAATTAATTGTCAGATAACAAGAGAAGATAATAATAATAAATTGAAACTTAAAATTCATAAATTAAATCCTTATAAAATGAGAATTCTGATTTATAAGAATAACTAAATCAATTAAATTAAAATATAGTTTAGATGGAGATTTTAGAATAGTAGTAATAATAAAGTATATAATTCTAACATGAGAAGATTAATAGATTAGAAACACAAGTTAAAATGTATAAATAATAAGTAAATATTGATTAAATATTAGTTATAAAATTAAAAACCAATATCACATTCTTTTAGAGATTCATATAAGACTCCTGAAAAAGATATGTTAGAAAACTATGAATAAAGATTGTAAATGAAATAAAAAGAGATTGCTAAGCTTTAAGATATGTATTAACAAGTTATAGAATAAAATGAATTACTTTAAAGTTTTACTGAAAAAAAAAATTATAAAAAAAAGGATTAAGAATTTGATAAAGAATTCAGTTCATAAATTGAAAGTATATTGGAATCAGATGTAATTGAAAATCCAGAATAAGAAAGAGTTAAATTACAAACTATTATAAAAAACATTCAAAAGAAAACATAAAAAAATTGATATTAAATTTATACTATAATTTTTATATAAAATTATTATGAGACTTAAATTAATTATTCATCATCAGAATAATACAACTGAAAATATTCTACTATTTAGCAAGCCTTAATAGACAATAGAAGAATTATGCAATTAATTATCAAAGAGTTGTAATTTAAAAAGTCCTTAAATTTTGATTTAAGGATTTAGAGCTTTGAATGATTAGCTTATAGAAAATTTAGTAATAAATGGAGAAATTATCGAGTAAAATTTTTTAATATATTATAGAGTTGTTGAAGGAATTGGATAACAAAATAAAATCATATAAAAAGAGATAAAAGTAAGATAGAAGCAAATTAATTAAGTAAATATAAAATTAATTTTAGTAATAAATTCAAGAAAATAGCAGTGAAGAGGAATAAGTACAAGTTTAAAAAAAACAACCATAAATTTAAAACTAAAACTAAAAAACATCATAAATAAAATCTAATTTAATTGCTAGACCTGGTTAATTTTAACAAAAATCTTAATAAATAAATGAATAGTAAGCAAAACCTAATATATAATCTATTGTTTCAGAATCAGAATCATCTTCTGAAGATAAACCCATTAAAAAATCATAACCAGTTAACAAAATGTCATTAAAAATACAATCACCAGAAGAAGAAATAAAAAATAAATAAGAAGAATGGAAAAAAACATTTACTAAAGGTATATAAAAATAAAATGAGTAGTAAAAATAAACTTAATAGTAAAAATAAACTGAATAGTAAAAATCTCAATAACAAAAATCAATTATAAAATTTAATACACTACAAATTGATAGATAATAAATTCCTTTAGATTAAAATAAAGAAAAGTAATAAACTTAATAAATTTCAACAAAATCTAATACACCTTTAAATGAATATATAAAATTATCTATTAAAACCTTAAAAGAAGATCCAACTTTAATTGAAAAAAATGATGAAATACTTTTTAAGTACAATTATCTAGACATTGAAAAATGTCAACCTACAGTGAGTACTTTATTATCTGGAAAAGTTGAAGAAAATATTTTATCAGAAAAATTATTAAAAATTTAGATAAAAAGAAATGAAATCATTTCTATTTATTATAGTGAATTTTCAGAATTGTAAATTAACATTACAACAATTTCATCACAAACTAGAAAAGCGGCTATAAAAGTATTATCTCAAGATGCTGATAATACTTCAAATCAATAACAATAATAAATATAAAATTAATGTGATAATGATACAAATAATATCAAATAATAATAAAAAGAAGTCATTGATCCATTCGGTATTGGTTAATAAATTAATTATTATTACAGTGATAAAAACTATTCAAAAGATAATTTTATTTTATAACATTCTGCTTCAGACCCAGAAAAATGTAATATTTATTATTTATAATTTAGATATGCTATGTAAATTGTTATTAAACTTTCCCAAAGTAAAAGCCACAATTAAAAGTGAAGAAGAATTATTAGATATTATTGAATTATTTCAAAGAAAAACTAAATAAGATTTAATCAATTTTGAGTTAAAATAAAATGATTAGGGTACATGGATGATTAGAAAGAAGAATATTGTTTGAAGAATAAATGTATTTATAGTACAATCAATAAATGTATAATATTCATTGTCTCTTAAATTCTTTTAAATATCATTATAACCATAAGAAATTAATGCTATTTCTTTAATATTTATTTATTCTGAATTATTTTAAATTAGCTAAATATTTCTTTGATTTCTAAAATTATCAATATAAAACTAAGGAAATTGTGATTTTCTGAACATAATTACTCTAATTTTAAAATAACTCACATAATTTAGAACCAATCTTTGCCCTTGTTAAAGTTTTTTTAATTTTATTTTAAAATTTTAGCATAATGCAAAACTAAAAATTTGGTGATATTTCTCTTTAATTATTTTTGCTTGTCCTTATATTTTTATGTAAATATATATTTTTAGTATAAGCTCTTTTCTTTAGATTATCATTGATTCTTAACAAATAATATATAATTGCAATCAAATTGATATTTCAAAGACAAGATTAAATTGCCTATGAATATAAGACTAGAAATTAACATAAATAACTTATGACTAATATTTTTTATGTATGTATGCCATTTTCTTATTAAATCTAATTTTTACTTACTGAACCTGGTTAAAAGGTAAAACGATTAATTTATTTATATAAATCTTTAATATATTCGCTCCTTTCTGAATCTGAATTATTTTATTATATAATTCTTAACTATTACATTACTTATAAATAATTATTTATTTTTTGTAATTTATAGAAATAAAATTCATCTTACCAAAAATCTAGTTTTTGCAATAGAGTGCCATTTATCAATTTTGCCAAGACAGTTGTCCTAACCAATTCAAATTCTACTTAGGATATTTTAAAATTAATCAATATTGGATTAAAGGTTAGTTGAAAAATATTATTATGATAAAAGTTATAATCTAAAAATTCAAAGTAAATATTTATTTATGTATTATTAATAACTAACTAAAATTAGTTGCATCATAATTCGTTCTAATGTTTTAGATTTGCTTGTAACTATAAAATATCTAAAATCTCTATTGAATGTTAAATATTTCTACTATTATGATCCAAAAACATTAATTATTGTTTTTCTAATTTAAAAACTATCTATTACTTCCTGCTTTCTAAATTTCAACATCTTTCAAGTAGGCAAGATTATTATTTATTTTTCATACAATAATGTCGTATTATATATCATTATGGGATCCAATAATATTATTTAATGATTATTATAGATTACTTGATTTTCATAAATTACGAAGAATTTTAAAATAATTTGATTCAATAAGAAGAATTTATTTTCTAGCACAATATATTTCACAAAAATGTGATCATTTTCATTTTATTAATTTTATATCTCATCATATTTGATTTCATAAAATAATTAAAATATAATCACTTAATTTTATTTATTATTAAATTTTCTGAAAAAATGTAAAATAATAATATTTTAAACAATTTTTCCATAAATTTAATTAGTATTTATTTAAAAATGCATTTCAATTAAATATGTCATCTTCATAATCAAGTGATTTAATTTATTTGTTTAGATGAAAGGTGTCCAGCTGAAATTTGTTAAAAATGCTTTGAATCTGATAAATATCATGAATCAAAGGAGAAAAATTAGATTATACCTAAAAAAAAGTTCATAGATATCTTAAATTAATTAATTTAAAAAAAAGAGAAAAATGATGATATGACCATTCAAAATCTTGAAAAAACTTTTAATAATTTTTAGGAATTTTATTTGGAAGTAAAATAGTCTGTTTAAGCAAAAAATGATGAATTTTTAAAAATTAAATAATATATCGAGAGACTTGAGCATTTTAACAGTCCAAAATTTTTGTAAAACATTAAACAAAGATTTGCATATAAATTTCTTACACCACTAAAAGAATTATAATAAGATAAACAATTGAAATAATACATTGAATGTATAGATAATTCTATTAAATAAACAAGAGAATTTTGGTTAAAAACATAATAGGAAAAATTATCATAACTTATAGATACCCAACCGATTCTTATTAAAGAAAAGCAAGATAAATAAATTAGCATTATAGACTCAAATGAAAATTTAAATTTACATTAAAAACTTTCTTTAAAAAAAAATAAGGAATTAGAAAAAAATATCTAAATTACATTAAAACAATAACTTGCTTTTGGATAAGATGATTAACAATTTATTTAAGATAATAATGTTATTTCCATAGAACATCCAAATTATTAGATTATTCAATAAAAAAATGCCTATTCTTTTAATTAATAAGATCAACAACCAATTAATTCTTAATATTAAAATGATCCTGAAGCTTTAGCTGAAAAAAATAAAATTAATTTCTAAGTCAATCAAAAGGATTTTTAAATTCAAGAATCATAATAATCAAATGATTTCGAAATAATGAAAAAATCTAACTTTAAATTGGAAATTGAACAAAAATAAAAGATTTTCAAAAAATCTTTTGAACTTAAAGCAGGAAATAATTCAATCTTAAAAATTGAAGTTATAAATGCCAATAAATTAATTTATTTAGATGAACGTAATAATATTAATTTAATAACTAACTATAAATCTCAGAAAAATTTGAAAAAAGTAGAAAAATAATTTTAATAAAAAATTATTGATTTTAGAATTACAAAAAATGATTAAATTTTAGTTCAAACAAATTAAAATTTAATTCTTTTTGATAATGAGCTCAAAAATTTATGCTAAATTGATGAGATAATTGAAAAGAATCACTTAGACACATTTAGTTATTCTAAAATTTAAGATAAAGGAATAAATATCATATATTATTTAAAGAATACAAAAAAAATATTTGCAAGTTTGATAAGTTTTAATTAAATCATAACATAATGGGAATAAGATTTAAAATAAATAATTGATTTTCCAGTAATATAATTGAAGAAGATTGAAAACAATCTATTCATCGGATTTTAAAATGGAACTATTTCTATATATGATCCTCAAACATAAAATCAAAGAGGGTAATTAAGATTTGATGCTGATTCATCTAAAATTTTTTAAGAAATTTAATTTAATGAAAATTTTATTTTAGGATGTCAAGAAAACTAATTATATTTACTAAGCTATAATAACTAAACAAAACTACTGTTATCTACAAATTAAAAAATTATTTCAATTGCATCCTAATTTAATAAGATAGATGAATATGAGATTCATTTATTATAAGAAAATTAGCGAGTCCATGTCCAGCTCCTGGTTAACCAAAAAATAAAATCATAAGAGAGAAAAATAAATGGAATAACTTGCATTTGCTTTTTTAAAAATAAAAAAAATATTTTTTATTATGGGAATTAAAATGGATATATTTACTCCTATCAAATAGGATTTGAATGAAAAATCATTTATTATTTAATCTAATTTTGTTTTTTTATATTATTTTTTTTCAAAACTACATTTTAAATTTTTTATGACATTTTTAATTTAAGTAATAAATTTGGAATTATCAAACTAACTCAAGTGAATTTGTCAAATGAAAATTTTAATTATGATTATAATTTGACATAAAAATTCTTTTTGACTTTTGGTGTTTGATAAAGAAAAAATAGAAAAATTTCTCAATAAATCCTAAATCCAAAATTATTTATATAAGATGCATTATATATCTATAAATTATCTAGAATAGAAGTCAGTTTAAGATTAAATTATTAATTTTTAATAAGGATGGGATCAATTTTTCTTTTTTAATAGAATTATATAGAATTTTTGGATGAGTTATTGAATATGAAAATAAATTTTGGTTTAAAATATATATTAAAGTTTACATTTATAGATAATTCCAAATCTTTCTTATCAAATTTAAAAGATTAAAGATTAGAATTGTAGAGAAAACCAAAGAGATTTGTGATTCTAATACTTTTTCAAAATTGTTTATAGGAGTAGATCAAAATCTAATTCTAGTAAACTGTATTTTTTCTAAACCTATTTAATAAGGTAGAAAATAATTTTTTACAATAAAATTTCAATATTAAGGATAAACCAGCAAAAATAAGTTAAAATTTAATATAAATTATTGTTTTTCTCAATTTAATAAATAAGTTAATATTCATTTAAAACTAGAAAATAAACTTAAGTTTTAAAATATAAAATAGAAAAAAAATATAGATGATAAACTATGTTCCTTATTAAATCTATAATACTAATCATCGCATTGCATTGATAAATAGTTTATGGTAATCTAATGGTTATTATAAGATATAATATCGATTGGATGCAAAAAAAATGAAAAAATAAATATATATTATTTTTGATTAATCTCTAGATTATAATCAATATCATAGAGAATTTTTGTGAAGGTGAATGATTATAATTACAAATTCTACTATTATTTTAAAACAATATGAAATGAAGTACTTTTTATAAAATAATATCAATAAAAATAATTGTGAATATCTACTCTAATTTGAAAATTTATTCTAATTCTTTAATTAAGATAATTTTAGATTAATTTCTTATTAATCCTAAATTATAAACCAATAAACTTTATTTATTTATCTTTAATAATTAAACATATGATAAGAGATAATTTAATTAATTTATGATAGTGATTGTGTTTTATATAAATAAAAAATGTATCTAAAATAAATTATTAATAATAATATTTGATGAAATGAGCAAAATATCTTCTTTTTAATTAAATAAGAAGTTTAATTATGTTTGTCCTTTTTTTATATTCAAGTTATTTATTAGAAAAGAACGTTTTAAATTAAACAATATAAATATTCATTTCGTTGAGAATAGTGTAGAGTAGATTAAAATAGGTTTATAGATTGGTCAGGACTTGTTAAGTTTGGAATAAATTTATAATTATTTAATTTAATGAATAGATAAACAAACATTTTTCTGAAGAGAATAGATGCATCGTTAGATTATTGGATATCACTTGTTTCAATCGGATTAGAAATTTATTTACAATAAGATTTGGATACATTATAATATTTTAGTATTGCTTTATTATTTCTGGTTGGAATAGCAAAGTTCATATAATCAAAATATAAATTTGGGATTAAATAAGGTATGAGATTGAAAATATGAAGGTTTAGATTATACGCCTCTTTTTTTTTGGTCTCTTTCTCTTGTTAGAATGATATTTATCAAAAATATCAACAAAGATTAAACAATTATTTGGTTGTACAGTCTTGGTTATAGTAATGGATAATATATGAGTATGATTCGTTTTAAATGGATAAATGAAATAGTAGAAATAGGAAAAGCAATAATATAATTGGGTGTACTTATTGGTTTATTAATTTATTATTTTGAGGAGCAATTAGGTTCAAGTATAATACTAATAATAATGATACTTTTTACTTAGTATCATAGTTACCGTTAAACAATAAAGCTATTAGAATTGAAAATAGAAGACTTTAATTCTTAAAATAAGACTAATTTAAATGGATCTACAAACAAATTAATCTCCAGAAAATACGAGGCATAAGAATTAAATATAAAAGAAGTAGAATCAATAAGTAGATAGGAAGCATCAAAACATTAAATTAAGAATTAAGTGGAGATATAACCACCAACTTAAAATATAGTTTGGCATTAATTTATAGAATAGAGTGAAGATTACATAAGCAAGTTCTATTTTAGTACGAATGATTTAGAAAATAGCATTGATCAAGCATAAAGTAATTATTAAATGTTGAAATTCTTACAAGATAATAAATGTCAATTACTTTCTTTATTTAAAGATTTGAAAGTAAGTAATGAATTAAATGTTAAATTAAATGAATCCAATAATTAAGAAAAGAAATAAGAAAGTCTTCTTGAATGGATTACTTTAAATGTTAATATCTAAAAATTTTAGGATATAAATTATTAAAGAGGATTGGAAGAAAACTTAGTTATTAGTTCACCAATTGCTTAATAATCAGTAGTTATGATGGATGCATTTATTGAAAAATCTATATCAGGCATATCTGCTATTTAATTAGTTTAAGGTTCTTTAGAAGTATCTAACCTAAAAAGTAGAAAAATTTTATATGCAAAATATAATGGCAAAAAACAGAATTACAATTTTTATATTTAAATTAGTTTTTTTTAAGAAGTATAATTAATATTTATAAAAGGAAGTTAATAATACTTAACGCTAAGTGATAGCTGTTATTCTTAGAGATTTAGAAAAATAAGTTAAACAAATTAAAATGAATCTGAAAAACATACAAAAAATTAATTCAACTATAAAATTTCTACAAATTTAAGCTGATTTAATTTAAAAGACTCATAGATGGGTAAATCAATAATAAAATTAAATTCCTGAGATTTAAAGAAGTAGCAGATAAACCACATAATTTATAAAAAGAACAAATTCTATTTGCTCATACAAAGATAGTGTTGATGATGGTTTATCAGAAGTTTCAGAAAAAGGATCAAAAAATTCATAAATAAGTTAATTCATCTATTAATTATAATTTCAATTTATGAAAATAACCTAAAATAATTTTAATTATTTTGAAGTGTTTTCAATTAATGATGTTGTTGAGCTTGAAAAAAAAAGAGTCGATATAACTTAAACAATTACATTGCTATTAAATTATTTTCAATATGATGAGATAGTCATTATGAAGAAAATAAGTATTTAATTTAATGAAAATTTAACTAATAAAATTATAATAACAGATGTCAGGTGTAATTATATATAATTTAATTAGACGGTTGAAATAACTATTGTTTAACATTATTTACAATTCAATCAAATCTTATGAATATGATAATAGAAATTAAAAAATTTAGAAAATAATTTAAATCGTTCTTAAAAATTATGAAGAGAATATTCGTTTTCAGGTGATTGATAATGGATGTGGCTTAAAAGATGAGAATATCAATTTCAAAAGAATTGATGATTGTAAATTAGGTTTAGCAGCGTCACAAAAATTAATTAAATTATTAGGAGGTAATGATAAATAATTATAAATCTTTCGTTCTTAATCATAAAACTAAACAATTGTTAGTTTTGAATTACCAAACACATTATTTATTGATAAAGCTGAAATAATGAGAGATGATTTTGATTTAGAAACAATTTAGTTAGTTTTCACTTCTTGAGTTTATTTAAAATTCTTATAATATTAAAATATTAAAATAATCTCACATAAATATCAGTATATATTTATAAAATGTGATTCTGCCTAATAATTCTATTTATTAATAACTGGATATATTTCGAATTAACATTAATGCAATAAATAAATAAATAATAATTAAATATAAAATTTTAATTCTCAATTGTGCATAAGTTATCTTAAATTTCTCTCGAATCCATCATTTAATACAATTGTTTTTATTGGCATCAAGTATGGAATTCTCTAAGCCAAATATAATTTGTAGATTAATTTATTGTTGATCTTCGTTAACGTAATTAGTATTAAAATGCATAAAAATATAAGAATGACTACATTATGCACCTATTTTAATAATCTATAAGTAATTATACACTGATTTTATCGATATAAGACTAAGTCTCTGTTTCTAAGTCTGAGTGAAAGTAAGTATTTATATCTTTGATAATGTAAGAAACCAAAAATGCACCCTCCAATTCTAAATAGCTTTGTTGTAATTTTTTAGTAAAATGATTTATAGCCATATCATTACTTATAAAATTACATATATATATTAATAATCCAAATAAACCCCTCTCCATATTTTAATCCATAATTTAAGGACATATAGATTCTGATTTATTGCTAAAATAATTTGGAAGATAATAACAAAGATTTTCTTCTTAAACTTTTTGATAATACTTTTTAAACTCTGTTGAAATTATTAAACTTAGATGATTATAAAAATAATTACTTATCTAAATTAAAATCTATTGTTATAAAATTATCTGTTCTATTTAATGAATCTTTAATTTCTTATAAAATTTAGGCTCTTTCAGTTTCATTTAAAAATGGAGCTATTATACCAATATTATAAAGAATATCTCTTTAAGCATACATTGTTGGTATATCTGTTCCAACATCTGAAATAGCTTTGTAAAATTTAGCTGTTTCTGGATATTTACTTAAATACTCTCCACATTCTCCATAAGTTAATAAAGCATTTCCAATTATTAAAACTAAAACAAAAATAAAATACAGATAATAATAAAAGTACTATTTCAAATAATAAGGTCTATGAATTGCTTTTTTCTTTGAATTCAAGATTAAGGATTTAGACTAAAATTCCTTTTCCCTATAATCAATATTTAATTAAAATTTGAATAATGCATTTGCATTTTTATTCAAACGACCTGAAATAAACTTTAATCGAGTAATATCTTCAAAAGTAAAATAAGTATCCATATTAAAAATAATAGAATAAAATTTATTAATCTATTTCTAAATTTAAATAAAATAATTAAAAGATAAACAAAATTAAATAAAAGCAATACCAATTGCAATTAAAAAAATAAGTTCTTCTTAAGATTACTCTTACTCTGATTTTGTAATACTGTTATTTAAAATTTATTCATTTAATAAACTAAATTCTTATTTCATTGATAAATAATTCTTATAAGAATAATATACATATGGACTATCAGAAACAATTGTTCCCTCAATCTAATATCTCATCTTAATTTCATATAAATAATTTAATAAAATTTATATGCTATTCCTTATTGTTAAATTAAATTTTTCACCTTATCCAGTATAAATATAAACATAAATTTCTAGAGATTTATCTTCGAAAAATCCTTAAGTACTAATCCTATCTAATACTGTTTTCAAATTAGAATCTAATTAATCATATCCTAGATTTAGATTCTATTTAGGAAATTCTATCAAATAGTCAAATTCTTATTATGTGATTTCTCCTGTTATTTACATTTAAATATAGTTAAATAGAGCCCATCTAGTTAATAAAAAGGATTCAAATGGCTAATATACTAGATTCTTTATTTATAATAAATCTATATCAGTAGCTAAAAGCTACAAATTGATATTTAATTTGGCTATTTGCTAAAATTAATTAAAATTTTACAATTGATTAAATGATGACTTAAGAAATAATGCTTAAAGTAAAAGAAAAAATAAAAAGTTTATGGTATTTCGAATTTCCGACTTAAAATTTAATTTTAGAGTATAAATCATATTTTTTATAAAATTCTGATCTTTTCAAACCTTAAAAAGCAGAAATTTATGAAGATTAGACATTATCAAAATTATGATTCTTTTCATCTTCTTCATTTTAATAACTCTCATATTTTTGAGAATTTAAATGATTTGATACTTTTGATGGATTTTAATGCACATTATAATAAAATTTTTACTCTAATAGTGTTTAATTAAATCTAAATGTACTTTTAATATTAGTTTATTCAAACTTAAATTCATTCATTATCTAGCTTTATTCTGAACATAAGCCTTCTTAAATTTCATAAATTTATTAACCATTTGATCGCTTTACATCATCTTCAATTGGAATTTTTATCGGTGTTTCATTACATATATCATTAATTTAATCATCTTATATATAATCCAAAATTTAATGATGACTCGTATACATAGAATTACTACAAGATGAAACCTAATTTGCTAAGTTTTTCTTAAAATACTCAAATTAAACATAATAATATGCAATTCTATCATTTAATTTTTTTGTTATAATTTAATAACTAGTGTAAAATGGATAACCTCTTGAAGTTGAGCTATGTCTCACATTTTAATTGTCAAAGTAGATATCTGCATTTTCAACGAAATGATTATCTGATATTGAAAGAGGAAACGAAGGAAGTATTTTAGTAATCTTCATTCCTAAATATAATTTTATACTTTCTTATAATTCTAATTCTTAAATGAATGCTCTACTCATGCAAACAATTGCTAAATTTAAATTTAAAATTATTGAAAAAATTTAACTCATTGTAGGTTGGATAAAAACAATGAAATTAAGTTCTTTAATTAAATTAGTTTCTATTGCAAAATCTATTTCTATCATATATTACTAATATTTATAATATAAAAAGTTATTTTGTAACTGTCTAAGATATTTAGATTTTCCATTTTTTAGGAAATCTACTATCATTTCATCATGATTTTCACTAATTCCTGGTGGAATTAATTCATCTATAGATTTATTAGCAAGACATTCATTTGGAATACCTAAAAATGAATCAGCATTAAAGGATGAAAACTTTACTCTCATCTTTTAATTAAATTCTGTTATTAAATAAATCATTTTGCTATTAAAAACATCTTAATTTAGAACAATTTTTTTCATTTTTTCATCAGATATTGCTAAAATACTATATAATGAATTTGCTGCTAAATAATCATTCAATAATTCTGTATAGAAAAATCCTAAAGCACATTAAGTTCTTTCACAAGGAAAGGTTTCATACTATTTTATTAATAAATTTTATATCTTTAAGAGTTTTTCAATATATCCCAATAAATAATTAAATTATAACATATAATTTTCCTCTACTAATAATCTCATACATTCAATTTTATCATGAAGAAGTTCAATAATATGAGATTGAGTTTAAAAATTTAAATTTTCACTTTCTATTAGCTATTTAGCAATTTAAGTGATATGATTAATTGGTTTAGTATGATTTTATGTATCATAACTAATTTTCTATAAACAATGTTTCATTATAAGATTTATTTTTAGGTTTAATAGAATATTGTTATTAGCTTTTATAGATAAAAGATCCATATATGCAATATAATTTAGATTTTAGGCAATTTTTATAGTTGAAAAAATAATTTACTGTTAAATGTTTGAAGGAGCTAAAATATTTAATTCAGAATAATTATCAATGTCTTTTGCATAAGATATTATTTAATTAATTGAGATAGGTATACCTTTTTTATAATTGTATTTAAAAATTCTAAATACTTCTTCATATAATCTCATTAATATCCTATAAATAATAGGAAGCATAATAATTTCTATTAGAGTGTTACTCAATAAGTCTAAGCTCTTGATTATTCCCAAATATAAAGAAAAAAGATTAATAGTTAGAAAAATAGCCTTGTTATTTATTGAGATCGATGGTTATCCGAAAATCAAATTAATTATTTAAAAGCTTATTATAGAATAAGCAATTATTTCAATGGCTAATTATGAAGAATTATATTTATAAAGAATCATAATTACATTATTGAGTATTACCAATATTCCATCTATAAATGAAAGCTATATTTTTTAAAAGTTTACTACTAATATATTTAATGTTCCTTCAAGTATAAGCGAGTTGAGTAATGATATTATGATAATTAAAATTTGTGGTAATATCTGAAACGGGCCAGATGTTATTTCAAAAAAAAAATTAAGCATTCCACATTTTAGCAATTAACCTATTATTCCAGTATACTTTAAATTAAGAAAAGGTATAAAGTTTAGTATATATACAAAGGTAATTATAAGAGTTATGTATGAACCTAAAATTGAGGAGGGAATATATATCTATGGTCTAGCAAAGGCTATAATAATGCTTAAATATGAAAAGTAATAAGTTCCATAAATATATGTTAAGGCCATAAATTATTATTGTATACTTAAGATGAGGATTAATTCTTATGGGAAAATAAATTGACTTTTTTCTTATTTTGTGATTATCTATGATAAAATTTTGATTATTTTTGAGATGCAATCATTCATTTTGGATGTTAATTTAAAACCTTAGAGTTTTTTATAAAAATATTAAAGTATTATAAATCAAGTTAAATTTCGTTATTGAATGAAATTAAAAGTGATTACTGTAGAATAATTAATTAATTTAACATTAAGTAATATAGAAAGAAAGAAAACTATAAAATATTAATTAGATAATTCTTAGATGAATAGAAAATCATAGATAATCTATGGAACAAAATAACTGATGTTAGTGTGTCTTAATCATAAAATGTTGTATTGAAATGAATATCATATTAGAACAATTTTTTCAGATACATTTATTTATTAATAACGATAATATTGTTAAATTACAAAAGTGATCTTGAAATTTAAAATAATCGTTATTATAAAATCCTAATATAATTATTTAATTTTATGAATAATTAAAAGCAATAAATAATTGTTTAGTTATTTGGGAAATGGTATGATTTAACAGAGTTTTCTGAATATCATCCAGGAGGGAAGGAAATATTAGAAAAACTAAATGGAAAAGATGGAACAGATAGTTTTTATGAGGTAGGTCATCTCTCAAATCATGGGGTATTACAACATTTATCAAGACTTCCAGTAATAGAGAAACCCAAACTTTGATTAGATATATATGAATAATAATTAATTAAGTCAATCAAATATTGGTTTACGAATAAATTAGTTGTTGTTCCCAAAATCTTAATTTATTTATTGTTTTAAGATTTTTGGTTATTAAATGATCCTTTTTTAAGGAGATTCTTAAAAGTATAGTTTATTTGGTTGAATAATATGTTGATTATTGTATTTAAGCACTGAAGTAGATTAAGTGTATAAATGATTAACATTTTATCTGTTTTAATCATACTTACAGATAATATCTGATGGTGTACGTATTAGACTATTTCTTCCTGCTAAATATTAATATTTTTTTCTAATTTCTAAAGGTGATGATTCATGACAGGATTTTTATCTATTAATTTAGAATCTATCTTTGCACCAATTACAAATTTAATCAATCAATTATAAACTTCTAGAATCATTATGTTCTCCTTAAATCTTAATGAGGTCTCTTAGTCCATTATGTTATTAATATAATCCAATCGTATTTTTAGATTTGATTAATGTATCTTAATCACTGCAAATATAAAGAGTTGGAACACTAGAGTCAGCTCTTTAAATTTTGATATCATCAAATTTAAAATTGCCTTATGATTCAATTCTGCCTAAATAGATTTATAAATTTAAATATACCTTTTAATAAATAAAGAACACTTTTAATTATCAATTTTGGAAAGGAAGTTGACTTTTAAATCATTTTTACACAAGCTTTATTAAGATCAGTAAAACATGAATCTAATACGTAACCACTTACATAAGGTTATTTCTTTAATTATATGGTAGTCGCTCCTAATGATCTACCCCATAATATGAATTAATTTTATTAGAATCTCTTCTTAATTTCTAAAATAATGCATGTGATATCATTCTATTCTAAATAACTATTTAAATAAGTTATGTTACCCAAATGTAATAAAATCTCCTTAACTATGTCCACATCCTTAAAAATCAAAAATACAAAAATTTAGATTATATTGAGCAGCAATATGAGCATATTTTACTCCTTCTACTCGACAACCATTAAAACCATGACAATAGATTATACAACAATCATTTATTGGATTCATCTAAAAAAATGAGCATACTAATTGATGACCCTAACGATTCATTATTGTAATTTCATGTTTAGAAAGTAAACCATTTTTTAGTTACAATTCAACAGGACCTTCAATTATTGTTAATTCTTACCCAAATCAAACATTTAATATTCTAATCTTCGAGGTCTTAAAAATTTTCGACATTCTTATTCAAAATACATTTATATTATATTAAACTTATTTATTTTCATGTCTAATATTAATCTATATCAGATAAATAACTCTTCTATAAAAAAACTCATATTATAAATAAATTATTTACTAAATCAATTCATTTTTATCATATTGCTTTTAGATTCATTTAAACTTCTTTTATATTTTATAAAATCATTTATGTTTAATTTTATTTCTAAATTATTTCTATTTTTAAAGGTTTTAAAAAGATTATTATTTGTAAATTTCATTCTAAATATTTCTATAAAATTAGAAACTGTTTCTAAATACGATTATCAATTAAAATCACCACTTATAATGATCTTTTTTTGTTTATTATGATTTATTTAATTATTCTA